GTGCTTTCGTGGCGGAGGCTCGTGGCCCGTGCGTGGTGCTGATCGGGATGTGCATGGTGCATGTGCAGGACTCTAGTGGCACGTTCCATCAAGTTAGAGTGCTCATCGATAGCGGCACTCAGGACTGCTTCATCACTATGAAATGCGCAAAAAGACTTGGTTTACAATTACGTCGATGCACCACAACTGTGGCTGGACTTGGACAACAGTCTGTGTGTCAAGTCAAGGGAGTGACTCAATGCTCTATACGCCCGTGTGATTCGAATGACCCGCAATTTGATATTAATCCTACAGTCATCGATAACATTACTTCTAAAATGCCAACAACTGATATTCCTCTAGCGGTTCGAGACTATTATAAACACTTAATATTAGCGGATTGTGACTTTGACAAACCGTCTGATGTCGATTTATTGCTAGATGTTGAAGTATTTCATCACATCTATGACGGCCGTGTCATTCAACTACAGCCCGGCGATCCTACTGTTTTACATAGCGTCTTTGGTTGGGTTCTCTCAGGACCCACAAATGTGGAGAGTCCGGTAAAATTGGTTGGCACCTCGTTAATTACTTCAACCAATTCATTGGAAAAGATGATGAAACGATTTTGGGAAGTCGAGGAACCGCCTCATCGATATGTAGTCCCTATCTTATTGAAGCAGACGTCTGTCTATATGGGAGGCTCATATAATAGTTCTTTGTCGCAGTTTATAAATCTTGAGAAAAAACTTTGCCGACAACCAGAACTTAAATCACTTTATAACGATTTTATGCGTGGTTATGAGCAGCTTAATCATATGCAACCAGTGGGAAAGGATATTACACCTGGTAGATATTTCATTCCTCACCATTGTGTGATTCGTCCATAAAGCATAACGCGTTATTTTCAATGCGAGTCACAAGATGACTGATGAACTATCTTTAAATGATATTGTTTACACTGGACCGAAGTTACAGGCTGATTTGGTTGACATTATTACTGGATTTCGGATCCATAATATAGTGTTTACATGTGACCTATCTAAGATGTACAGGCAAATCTTGATAAGGCCTGAGGATCGAGTGTGGCAACACGTATGGCGTAAATCCCCTTCCTTGCATGTTCAAGAATTTGAACTTCGTACGGGCACATGCGGAGTCAAAAGCTCGCCGTACTTAGCGATACGAACATTACATCAATTAGCTGCAGATCACGGCGATCAGTTTCCTCATGCTGCTGAAGCTCTTCGGCATCATACTTATTGGACGATATTACTACAGGTGCTTCCTCAGTCGAAGCAGCCTCTCAGCTTAAAGAAGATTTAATCAATGTCCTTAACTGTGCTCAGCTAGATTTGCGTAAGTGGTGCAGAACAAGCCTTTATTTCTTCGATTGTTACCCATGGAACATTGTCAGTGTCCGAAGACATTTTCCGATGATAGTTCAATAACGCTTAAAGTTTTGGGAGTTCAATGGGATCCTGCGGAAGACTATTTCAATTACTCCGTCTCTCCTGTGAATGTGGAGTTTACGAAACGTTAAATCCTGTCCCACGTAGCTCGTATTTATGATGGCTTTCACCTTTTATTCTTTTAGCCAAACTACTTCTTCAAAACTTATGGTACATTGGATTGTCTTTGGATGAAATCACTCCCGCCAATCTGTGTGACGATTGGGTTTCATTTGTGTCTGACTTGTCCAATATAAAATCGATAACAATCCCTCGTAAAACCGTGATTGACTTAGCAGCTGCACACCAGCTGATTGGGTTTTGCGATGGATCAACCAAAGCATATGGATGCTGCGTCTATCTCCGATCAATTATCAATGATCAAAAACAAGTTTCTCGATTAAGCCTCTAACAGTTAATCGTTTGGAGTTGTGCGGTGCGCTCTTGTTATCTCATACTCTCAAACACATGCAAACTTTACTTATTTCGAAAACAAATATATCTCATATTATTGCCTACACTGATAGTTCAACTGTATTACAATACAATAACTTTATTTCAGGCATCAAGGACTTAAAAATTAAGAACATTGGCCCATAGCAATATATACCTTAACCTAAAAATATATATAAAATATAGACATAACTTAACACTATTTAGGGAACTTTTTTCCTTGGCTTAGTATTAGCTTGGATCAATACAGATTATACAAATTGAAACCTTCTGTTGCGCATCGAGTAGTTAAAATAACTGACGCAGTTGAACCTTCTACCTGGAGGCATGTTACGACACAGGACAATCCTGCTGATTTTCCTAGCCGAGGTTTCTCGTGTGCAGAATTGGTCAATTATAAGCGATGGTGGTGAGGACTAGATTGGATGCTTAGTGGTACAGATCACTGGCCAGCTCAAATTCGGTGTAAGCCCCAGGATGAGTTGCCAGAGTTGAGAACACGCACTCTGATTGCTCAATCTCGGGAATCTGATAAAGACATTATGAAGGTGTTATTAAATCGGTATTCATCCTTATCGCGACTCAGCGAGTATTGGCATGGGACTTTCGCTTCATTTCTAAATCGCGCAAAGAACCAAGCCAACGCGAGAAAGGTCACATGACTACGAATGAGGTAAAGTGCTCTCTGCTTAGCCTTATTAAATATGTCCAATAGGGCAGCTTCAATCAAGAGATGTCTAAATTAAAATCGCAGAAGCCTCTACCTAAATACTTACAAAAATTGTCTCCGTTTATTGATAACCTAGGACTCATGCGAGTGGGTGGACGACTTACTAATTTCAACTTACGTGAGCACACAAAACATCCATATTTGTTACCGAAACAATCTATTTTATCTCAATTAATTATTAGCTATTATCATAAACGGTATTTGCACTGTGGACCTCGCATGTTACAATCACTAATTGTTCGCAAGTTCTGGATTTTAGGAGTTACAAATCTTATTCGTTCTATTTTAACAAAGTGTGTGACTTGCTTTCGGGTTAAACCTGTGCCCTATCAGCCGTCTATGGGCAACCTGCCACCTTGTAGATCTCAACAAGGTTACTGTTTTTGGCGATTTTGGCGGTCCCTTTCTTATAAAAGAAAACAGACGACGATCGGTCGCTAGATAACGCACGGGTCAGTAAGGCTTACATATGCTTGATCATTTATTTATCTGTAAAATCAGTTCATTTAGAACTCGTATCTGAACTGTCTACAGAAGCGTTTCTAGCCGCCCTAGACAGATTCGTGTCTCGACGTTAAATATGTCAACATATTGTGACAGATTGTGGCACTAAATTTGTAGGCGCTAAACGATATCTTGAGGAAATAGTTAAATTATTAAAAGATAAAAAACAGGATATTTCTGATCAATTAACGTCTCGTGGAATCTCGTGGAAACTAAATCCACCTTCAGCACCTCACTTTGGAGGCATTTTCGAAAGTGGTATAAAATCTACTAAATATTATCTCAAGAGGGTCATAGGCTCACAAGTCCTGACGTTTGAAGAACTCACTACAGTTTTAACTAAAGTTGAAGCGATGCGGAACTCAAGACCGATTTGTCAGTTATCGTCTGATCCTGGCGAAGTTGTAGTTCTCACGGCCGGTCATTTTATAATAGTACGTCCTTTAGTCGCTCTACCAGAATCGTCCGTTGAAGATATGAATCCTAGAACACGCTGGCAGTTACTTCAAAAGCTCTCTCAAAGTTTTTGGCGTATTTGGCAAAATGACTATTTACATACGCTTCAACAAAAAGTTAAGTGGTTTAAGGATGATCACAAACATCCTAATATTGGCCTACTCGTTTCAATCATTGAACCTAATCTACCACCTAACGAATGGCGCCTAGGTCGAGTAGTCCAAATCCACCCCGGAAAGGACAATGTTATTCGGGTTGTGACCTTAAAGACTAAAAGAAGCGTACTTACAAGACCAGTAGTCAAAGTCTGCCCTCTTCCTCTTGATTGAATCTTATTTTTATTGTTTTATTAAGCTAAATTGTAAGTTCTAATTTTAAAATTAAAATAAACAAGTTTGGTTTTCTTTTGTAGTTTAGTTAAGGTTATCAATGCACAACTTAGCTCAGATATCTATTTAGCTTATATTAATTTATATTCTATGAGCAACTGGGGACCTGGAGAGCTGTCGGGTCGATGGTTGTCTTGTGAAATCCCTAGGTGATTTCAGGTGGGAGGGAATGTTGTGGCTTCGGAACAGTCCCGATATAATATCCTATCCTCCCGCCTCCCCCATACGCACTACTCAAAATGGTGCGCCACCTATCCTCAAGAAAAAAAGAAACAAGATGGCCGCGCACGCATAAACCGTGGTCGTTACCGCTCGTTTAAAAATACTCAATAAATAAGTTGTAAGACTATCGTGCAATTGCTCGTGTCCATATACATTCGAAGTGCAGTGTGGTGTCTATGTATACACGAGAACTTCAACCTCAATATTTAGACTTTACCATAACCACGAGGAGTGCTCCAGTCTTGTGAGTATCCTTGCCTTATCTACCCAGTTCTAAAGCTATTTTCGTTTACTTCCCGGTTGGGATCATCGGGTTAGCCAACCCTTGATCTGGTTGTTCTCTGGTTCCCAAAACCACTCACGAAACACATTGCGAAACATTCAAGCCGTAACAGTGTTTATGTTCCGGTTTTCCAACTGTTTTACGTGCTAAACGTTTTTAAGGCCCTGGAGAGCCATTCTAAAATCGTTCTGACTGATTGTTTTTTCTTTATTTTGACTGTTTTCCTCTTAATACTTACTATAGTTTCTAAGCTTAGCAAATGGGTTTGCACTCAGTTTTTTTATTGTTCTATTCATTTCTCAAAAGGATAAAATATAAGGTATTTAGAGTTTAGGCAACTGTTTGTGGCGACGGAAATAGCTGCGGTACTCATAGGCTGAAAAAGTGATGAATTATCATACGATTTTATCTTTTCAACTCATAGAACAAAAAAACCTGAGATTCAAGTATCGGGGTTCAAAGAAACAGTCTCGCGCGTATTGTACAAGCGCACAGTGCTCCGTCTTGTTATTAAACTGCAGTAATTTAAAAATATGTTTGCGCTCAAGCTAATTGTATTGATTTTCTCGATCTCCACAAGTGTAAGTTTTAATATACTTATTTTTCTTTTCTTCTTATTCTTAAAAAAATAAGTTAAGTCTTACAAGTGATATAAAATAATTACCGACTTCATAAAGGAGTCAATTCTTTTGCATGCTTTGTTAGTGTCTGAAACATTATATAACTGAGGTAGGACCGATTTAACAGATTTTCTACCGACTTCAAAAAGGAGACGGTACTCAATTGGACTGTATGTTTTTTATGTGTTACCTCATAACTTTTTACTGGGTGAACCGATTTCGATGATTCTTTTCTTATTTGAAAGCTGGTGCTTCACATGTGGTCCCATATTGATCCAATTGTTGATTCAGACGTGGTCAAGGTCTGACCAATAGTTTTTGAGTTGTTCTTAATAATTTATATTGAAGTCGGTTGTACAAAATTTTTAATTTTAAATTATTTATTTAACCATCTGCTGTCCATATAAAATTTAACCAGAATAGTTAATATTAAAATCGGCATATATTTTTTTACTTATTTAAATCAATCCAATTAATGTTCATAATAATCAAGATACGCATAAAAGCAAAATATTTGTTTGTTAAATACTGTACGTGAATATTTAACATTTTTGTGTTATTTTATAATCTATTTATTTATCTACATTATTTCCAAAATGACAAAATAGTATATTAACTTCTTATTTCATTGTAATTTTAATTACAATACATTTACCGTTCTTATTTGACTTTGAGAGGAAGTTAAAGCTTCTTAGATGTTTTTGTAATAATAATCATAGGAAATGAAAAGAAATTTAAAATGTAACCTTTTTGGTAGTTAAAAAAAAATAATCTCAATGCCATTACCGTATTTTACTCGTAGGAACATTTCACTTTCTGTTGCCTTTATGAACTATAAGGCAAGTCATAATATTACGATAGCGTCGAACCAAGATAACCTTCGTTTTTAATGTTAGATTTACGACTGGTTTGCCTTAACAAAGCAAGTTTCAGTGAATATTGGGGTCATGAAGCGGAGCTTCCAAACAAACAAATAAATTTATTTTAATTGAGCACATGTGTTGTAAATATATTAATAAAATATGAATGTGACATACATAATTAAATTTATATTTAAATTAAAACAGGTCAAGTTGCAACACAAAATTAGTGTTCAGTCAATTGCACAGAGTACTTTTTATTGGTCAATACCCCCAAAGCCTTTTTCCTGAAAGATATTCGAATACAAAAAGTATAAAAGACGTTAAATCCAAAGAGTATATAATCGCTACGTTTCAGTTAAATCTAAAGGTTATTTTAACTAGTTAATTTTTTTTTATAAAATAAGGGTAACTAATGAGCACACAGTTCACCATATGGAAAGTGAAAGCTGTGGCCCATAGACGTCTACATTTATCCTCGATTAAGACTCAAAATGCAGATGCTTTGTCAACCCTGAGGGCTAAGATGGAGTGCCTCGTTTCCAGTAAAAAGGGTCTCCAGTTCTTTACACTCACCATATGAAATACAGCAGCATTAAGCTGCTATTTCACGCTGTACTGTGTGAGAGGGTGTAAAATAAAAACGACAATTATGCGACAGTTATGCGACAATTCATTGTTTTAAGATTACTTTACGATTTCGATTACTAGAATAGGAAAAGCTAATCGACAAAACTTTTAATTAAACTTTTACTAAAAACTAATAGACGACTTTGAAGAACTAAAAATAATAAGTTAATTTTGACTTAATAGTTTCTGAAGTCGGTATACTAAGATATAGTGTATAAAAAAAATTAAAGTCCTCTTCATTGGCTTTTATTTTTTAATATAATTATAAAAGTTTGATTTTAAGTAGATTTAAGCATTAAAAGTCGTCACTTAAATTGCAATGGGATTGTCGAACGGATTATGAGCTTTAAAAAAACATATTGAGACATTTTCTGCTGGTATTCTTTATAATAAAAAGCGTTCAGCCGGCGTCAAACCTATTATTTTTCTATAAAATATCGTCTCTTATCAATGTGCTCTACTCTAACGTTGATTCTCTAGGCCTCTCTCAAAGCGAGTCATTTAGGCCGATCTTCGGCTATTTACACACATGATTCGTATAAAATCAAAAGCGGCTATATCATTATCAGTCATTGTTGACAGATTAAAAAATACTGATTACAAAGCACAAAGACCTACCTGGGATTACTGTAATATTTTTTTATTAATTAATATGTTAAGGTATTACTTTAATAATATAGTTTTTAACCCACGAATGAAAACAATGGACATGATCAAATGTGAAATACCAATAAAGCCATCTTTGACTCCAACAATTGAAAATGGCCGCCTTTGATTCCAAAGTATGAGAAGATGGCCACATTTGACACCAAGTCACGGAAAGATTGCCATTTTTGTATCCAATAAATTTTGCCTAATGTTAGGGTTGTGAAAAATAAAAAAGAGATATAGCCATTGTTCAAAGATATAATATTTATCAAACTAAATTAAAATGAAAACTAAATCTATTACATGTTGCTTAGTATCTAGTCTTTGTTTAAAAGCGTAAATCATTTACTTCCTCAAGTGGTTCTTGACAATAATGTTCCCCTACAGGTGGAGTAGTGTATTGCAAACGCTCTTGTGTCGTTATTAGGTTTTTGTATAATTGGAGAGACGGTATATCTCGCCAGTCTTTTCCAAAATGTTTTGTTAGCAGGGTGTTAATGTCACTAACTTTCTTATTATTAAGTGCAACAGTTTTCCGCAGTGGTCTTGCATTTATCATAGAGATAGTTTTATGCTTTTTACAAATGTTAGCTGCTTTTCCAACGTTACTTTTATAAAAACATTCGCCTCTCACAAGAACATTACCCGGCTTTTTGGAACGATCCAAAATGAATCTTTTACATTCTTTAAACCTAACGTTCCAAGAAGTCGTTGGTGTCAAAATCGACCTGGTTGTTTCTCTTCAATCACTGACAGGACACTCATCCCCAAATTGAACAACAGTTGAAGTCTCACACACGATATTTTTAATCTCATCAGGGTGCAAAATAAACCTCTTGCTTTTTCACTTTTTTTTTTCTATTATACCAAATGCGTGATCTGGGGGCATATAGGAGTGCCCAGTAACTGGGAACACGACTTCTAAGTTTTTGATGGTTGGACATGACAGCAACCACTTACAACATGCTGCAATAACTATGCAATTTTTGTTTTGCCCCCCACACCCATCCGCTACTAAGCGTATTTTGTCGATCCCAGTTTTATCAGTTTCATTATGTCTGTGAAATACAGCTGATGCAACCAAATTGGAGTCTTTGTGGAACTCCTCCTCCGTGCAGCAGTATACAAAGACTTTTTCTTTGGTCATTGGCTGATCGGATGCACCTTCTACCATGGTCAAGTTATAAAAGTAAAGTTGACGACTATAATAGCATATTTGATCCGGTAATTTCGAGAGGGGAAGGTTTTTTTGGCAGTCAAAGATATGATTTTTAATCCGTCAGCCTTTTCACGCAATTTGTAAAAAATGCCTTTGCCCTTAATTTATGCACTGTTTTTTGTGTTATTAGCAAAGTTTTTTGGGTGGGATCAGTCTCAGTTTTAATTTTTTCAGTTAGCTCGAGACATGTTGAGCAAACATCCGTACGAGGTGATCCAAATCCGAGGTTATAAAAGTTGTTAAAAAGGAATCTAAAGTAAGACAGCTTCACTTCACAATCTGCCCACTCAGATTTTTTGTACATGTATATAATAGTTGAAAGTATAATAGTTTTTTTTTTATATTAAGCTCAGCAGGCAAATATTTTTTTTTTCGGGTTTACCCTTGCGGCAATAATATGTCTCTACACACTTCAAACTTTGTATAATTTTGTGAACAGATTTTTTTCTGCTGTGAACATTTTTCTGTTTTTCGAAACCCACCACGTGTCTCATGTGTTATTTCACCCGCGTAATAAAACCTTTTCATGACATAATTTACCTTGTGCTTTGTTATTCCGAAAATGTTCAGAATTTTTTTTTTGTTGGCAAATAGGTATCCTCTGTTTGTTAACAAATACGGCGTATTTTATTGAAGTTTGTTTGGAAACTGTTGGGCGAGTCCTCTTTAAAATGGCCTTAAAAGAACAAAGTTTTAAAATTATAGCATCTTGACTTTTTTGTCGTTGTGGGCATAAAATTTGCTATGTAGATTGTGCATATCAGACATCGTTATTTTAGGGCATTGAAATGCATGTTGGTCATGTTCACAAACGCGCGTGGGTAGACATTTGGATGAGTATCTGAAAAAAGATAAATTTTGGAAATTGTTAAAAATGTATTGTACATTGTGATTTTTTAATCGTTTCAGCGTTTGTTCTGCCCATGATTTTGATTAAATGTCCCCATGGAATATACATCGAAATCGGGCAAAAATGACTTCTCATACAAAATAGATTCACGTGAAATTATACCACCTGTTTCTTTTTCAAGGTAATGATAATATTTGTACTCAAAATTGGAATAAAATCCATCATAATCCAAAATAGAAACTTAAAGATTTATAATATCAGTAAATCATTTGAGTTACCTACTAAGTTAGAGTATGTATCAACCCTAGGTAGGTACTCGTAGCTTACCTGTTTTTCTTTGCGATATTCTTCTTCCAATTTTCTGGATCATTTTGCCGTTTCCTTGAGAAACGATTATTTGTAATGGTGGGCTGATCATCCATGATTAGAATTTTAGTAGTTTTAACAATCTTTAATCACTAAAACTTCAATGTCCACTTCAAACCATTATTTAAACAATAAAACAGGGGCAGCAAACCGACGCCGATCAAGTTCCCGCCAAAACTCCTTTATCACCATCTTGTCAAGTGCCGGAATGCACTGCTGTGATTGGTCTAATGCACAGTAGCGCCGTTTTTGATTCTAATAAACGCGTTTAAATGAACGCTTTATTATAGAGTGTAAGAGCGATGGTGAAAGCGATTCCAGTGACTCAGAAGATGAATTATTGGAACCAGTAGCGAATGCGGTACATTTTTCAAAACAGAAATTCCTGAAATTAGGCCGCTTGAACTCCGAGATCACGACACAATTATTTTTATAAAATATAAACAATATATATAATAACACTAATTCTCATTAATTTTTATATATTAACACGAAATTTGTTTTATTTTATATTATGTGTAATGAATATGTAGTTACCTATTTCCTCGGTGAATTTCTTAAATGGCAATAGTAAGCACTCTACTAGCGACACTGTCGACTGAACAGATAAGTTGGTGGCACTATAAGTATTTGATATGAATTTCAGCTTGATACCTCCACGCGTTCCTGAGAAAAAAGGTCTTGACAGACAGACAGACAGACGGACAACAAAGTGATCCTATAAGGGTTCCGTTTTTTAGTGTACGGAACCCTAAAAACAATTTAAAATTAATATGGTGGTTTTGGATAATATCCTGAGTTTTACTAAAGTTGTCAAGTCGTCGATTTCGTTGACTATGCTTTGCTTTTCTGAGCGCGCACTCAGCACGACTTCGAAGTTCGAAGTTAGCTTTATATTATACAATTATCGACATTGTCTTAGCTCTGCTGCTAAGAGTACGGTATATAGATCTCAGCCTTAGAGTATACATTAACTTGCTTAAGTATGTACTCTAGGGCCGCGCTGTTCCAGTGCGTGTTGGCGGACTTCACATGTCCTCGAAATATTTTATTATTTATACTTGAAGGTTTTCTCACGATTAAGTATGTTAATGTTTTTTTGTCAAGTGAAAAAAAAAACTACCAAAACTTAATGAAATATTACTTAATTATACGCATTTACAGAACGCATTATATTGTTATATTATATGTAATAGATAATAATAATATATAGCCTAGGATTGCTCTGTCTCTCTCTCTTTTCAATAAATTACAATAGAAAGAGACAGGTATAGAGATAATTAATTACTGAATTTACGTAATACCGAGGATTGCAACTTCCAAAGCCAAGCTCCGAATGAAAAGTCAGTACAAATAAAAAGTACTCATATACGAGTATGTTTAAGCTTGTATCAGAACTTAACCTGTTTCACCTGTTCGCTGGCATACCATAATTGCAAGCGTAATGTTACGTTGAAATTAAATTTTCCATGACGTTGCACGACGATACAAGGTCTACTTGTAGTTGTCCAATACACAAAGTATAAGCGTTTTTGTTGTAGAACACCTGTTAGAAGCACTTTAATAATTGAATACAAGGTACGGTCATTAGCGAGATGGTTATTTTATTAGTTGCTTATTATTGTGTGCAAGAGTGCAGGATTAAAAAAAAAGCAACAACATTGGTTTCCTTGTTATTGTAGGAAATAATAATGAAACAATTAATTGGATAACAAAACAACAACATTCCCTGTAATTATTTATTTGAAATAATAATTATATACCAACATAATATTATCATTCACGATTGTATCATTCCCATCGAAAATATTCGTAAAATCCAGCATACTATTATCATTGTTTAAATAAACCAAGCCTCGTACCGGTAGGAGAAGTGTAGGGCGGCCCCTGCTAGATGGAATGTCGATCTGGTAAGACATGAAGGGAGTCGATGGATGCAAGTGGCTTAGGACCGTACTTTGTGGTCTTTCTTGGGGGAGGCCTTTATTCTAAAAATACACAATGCAGTACTTTCCACGTAGTGAAGTCCAATCATTTTGTGTCCGCTCTAGAGTTCCTGTATAGAAAACTTTGGTGAAACCAATTCCTACCACTCAAATTAATTTAACACATAAGGCCCATTTATTAACGAATTAATGTCATTCTAAAGTCTTTGATTTTCAAATTTTAAAAATCTGATTTTACATCTTCTTATGAGAGACTATACCTGAATGTCTGTATTTTCTGCCTGTTTTTCGTATTCAATTAAAAAACTATTAATATGTCATCTACACCGATTAAAGCGTGTTTCGGGTACTTAGTCTATATTGTGTTGTTTTATATAGGCAGCGTAGGATAATCCTCTACGCCATATCATGCCGTGAGGGTCGTAAGAGACGACAGAGGGAGATGGAACAGGAGATGGACAGCAGCATAACTTCCTATCCATCCAAGAGTCCGTTTGCACTTCACGGTATATAAGTAATCTAATTATTTTTTTCCGCTTAGCAGCAGCGCCATAGTCCTATTTTTTTTTAAATTGAAGATTAGGTAAGATTCGCGTGCAAATATAATGGTATTATGTATATTATGTATATTTTTGTATCTAGTTTGCAGAGTACGCCTATAATCACTTGCACTATCACTGCCACCTCTAAACGAAACATCACTACACCCAACACCACTACCTCAACACCACTCTAAACGAAGCAGCATCAAAGCACCATTAATACGATAATTTTTATTAAATTATGAACTTCGCATGAAAGGAGCGCCTAATTCTATGAGACATTCCATCATAGTTCTCAGAGGGCATAGCGGACCTATAACCTAACCTAACGAGCCTCCATTGTTTGGAGTTAGAAACAACTGTCTGCAGGGCATAGTAGCTACTTTCACTAAGGCAGGCTGCAAGTCCGTTTATCACTAGTAAATTATAAAAAACATTGCCTATCATATTAATATAAACAAAATTCACAGATAGCATCGGGAACTGTTCCAACGTTCAAACTCAACGATGGTCGTGATATGCCCCGCTTTGGTCTCGGCACTTGGCTCGGCTCTATGGTAAGTATTTAATTGTGAAATATAAGCTTTTAAATCTATTATTATCACTATCTATAGTAAATTTTCTAACTTTTAAATGTTATTTTTTTAATTTTACTGTAATTTCTAATTTGAAGGAAACTTCTGGTGATGTAAAGAAGGGCGAAGTTGAAGATTCTGTTAAGTGGGCTATCGACGCTGGATACAGGCATATTGATACTGCTTCTATCTACGATACTGAGGATGAGGTAATTATAATATGGCAAAATAAATAGGTAGGTAACTGATTTTTCAAGTGAAAACTTCTTTAGAATCGTTGTGATTTGGAACTCGGTGAAACGAAAAAGCGACACTAAAAAGTGAAACATATACATAATACATCTGTAGGATTCAACCTGCGAGAGAATGAGATAGAATACATTAAGCAGTGTCCTATTAACATAGAATAAATAATAGTTTCTACTACGATTCCACTTCTACAGCGTCTGATTACACTACACACACTACTACTACTACTACACATGTTTTTTTATATTAAAGTTTATCTTTAAAAACAAAATTATTGAAATAATTTTAACGTACAATGTTATGTCACGATCAGTATTCATTGATTTTCTTTGTAGAGAGTAATAGTGTTCTGTGATTAAGTTCTATGTTTTCGGACTTATATAAAAACTTTTATTTCAACAGGTTGGCAAAGCAATAAACAAAAAATTGGCAGAGGGCGCTGTAAAGAGGGAAGATTTGTTTGTTACCACAAAGGTTTGTTACGACGTTCATAGAAAGTATTAAAAATATTAATTCTTCTGTTACTTTATCTTTACCTATGTATTCGATTTAATTATACTTGCGAAAAATGAAATAGCTTCATGGAATCATGAACAAATATTTAAAATTTAAAATGAAGTATTTCCTCTTTTTATAGAAGTAAGTAATTTTATAGAATTTTACGTGGTAGAGCCACGCTGCAGCTATATTAGTTGTAGTACGAATGAGTCGGATCGTCCGGGTTAGGACCACGCTCTCACAGAATACCAACGTAAAATAGTAAAATAGTGTAGAGAACCGGAGATCCCTTTTACTGGAAACGAGGCATTCCATCTTAGTCCTCAGGGATGACAACGCATCTGCATTTTGATTCTTAATCGAGAATATTTGTAGATGTCTATGACCACAGCATCCAATTACCATTATTTATTATATATTATATTCATCCATTTGCCCAGTGCCAGCTCGTTCCACTTGACCGCATCCAGCGTAGAGCGGCTCGAATCATCGACGACCAAGTCCCTTCCGATCGGCTCGATTCACTGGCGCTGGATCTCTTCGCCAGCAGTCTTTGCATATTTTATCGCATCTACCACGGGGAGTGCTCTGAGGAATTGTTCGGACTAATTCCAGCTGCTCAATTTCACCATCGCACATCGCGACAAAACTCGCAATACCATCCATACCATCTGTATGATTGGCGGTCCACCACTGTGCGATTTAGAAGTTTACTTCCTCGCACAGGTTCCTTGTGGAATCGATTACCACCAGCGATTTTTCTGGAACGATACGACTTAGGAACCTTCAAGAAAAGAACCTACTCCTTTTTAAAAGGCCGGCAACGCATCTGCAATACCCCTGGTGTTGCAGTTGTTCATAGGCGGCGGTAGTCACTTAACATCAAGTGAGCCGCATGCTCGTTTCACCCTCTCGTATAAAAGAAAGGTGGACTGTGTGCTCGTGTTTGTCACCCTAATTCTGCAAATAAAAATAGAAATTGAACCCAGGTCCGGGTGTATATAAAGTTACTCTGTGATCTGGATGAACCTACGAGGAGGAAAGGAAACGGCTGCTATAAGTCTCTAAATGGTTAGGTGAACCTGTGATTTGAAACAATGAACTTACATTTTCTAGAAGCATAGGGGAGCGGTGTGCTAGTTGTAACAGGGGCAAGTAGTAACAAGAATTTTTTACCTAGATAATAGAAGAATATTCATTTGATTTTCAACCTAACCTACTATTTAACACCCATTCCATCATATAAGCGCGATCAGTATCCCGCTGGATGGCGCAGAAGACAGTGTTATGAAGGCGCTCCGATAAGACCATGTAATGGACTTTTTTTTGTTTTTGCAAAATTGATTATTCTTGATTTCAAATTGTTTAGCAGTTGTTGCTTTATTAAAATACATTTGACATTTGTTTGTTTCGATTATGTTAACTTTAATTTTACACCAAATAAGGGATATATTTTTTTATAACAGTTATTTCCAAAAATGTTGCAGTGGGGTATGTTGTAACATTTTCATGGGGCAAATTGTAACAAGTTACTAAAATCACCTTATTGATATATTATTTCTGTGAAATTACGTTGGGCATACTTCAATTACTTCTTTTCATGTTTTTAATACTTTTTTCTTAAAGTTAATTGATTTTATCTATTTCCGAATGAGACAATATAAAAGAAAAACTGAACGTGCATCCCAAAGCCCAGATGTGTACGAATTGGCTTCTGTAGAAGTCTTGAAAAATAAAACCAGTGTACGAAAAGCTGCAACAGATTTTAATTTGTGGCATGTGTCACTATATAGATATGGAAAAAAAGAAGAGTAATAAATCTGTATCAGTCGGCTATGTCAAACCCAGATTAGTTTTTAAAGAGAAAGAAGAAGCTAAAATATCAGAGTACTTGCTTACTTGCTCCAACATCTACTTTGGATTGCTTGCTTTGGAAGTCAGAAAGTTGACATACCAGTATGCTGTTATGATTGAAGCGAAAAATGTACCTCTGTCGTGGCATAAAAACGAATCAGCTGGACCTGATTGGTTCAAAAATTGTATGGTAAGAAACCTAAGACTGTCTCTGAAGACGCCGGAAACTACATCTCTAAGCCACGCAACATTCTTTAAAGTTTAAAAAAAAGAGCATCTTTGTTTTTGAATATTTTTCTATTAGATTAAGTATAAAACTTAAAAGTCTAAGTCTGTTATAGCTAGCCCCAATCACGGGGTAAGTTGTAACACTCGTCACTTTTATTTCTAAGCCCTTTTTATAAGAATTCATCACAGGTTTGATCAAAATTTTATTTGAAATCGATAGTTGAATAGTAGCTCCTTCGAACAGTACTGCTATATTTTCTAAATACTCAACAAATAAGCTTCCATAGCCAAGAAACAAAAAATTGTTACAACTAGCCCCCCGTTCCCCTAATATTGAAATGAAATTGAAATGTTGATAATGAATATGTACTGATAATACCGCTTATCGTGCCACCTTTATACCCATGTACTTTAAAAAAATCCCCACACGAGCAGTTAACATACATAAATTACTCAAGGACCAACATCCTAAGCCGGAACAATTATTTTTAGGCCATACAAATACTTGTTCCGTGCGGGATTCGAACCCGCAGGCCTTTACCACAACTCAAAGTTAAGCCAATGCACCACAGAGGCGTCAATGTATTTGTACTGTGCTTATGCCGCTTATTTCTTTCCTTCTTTATTTTCTTCGTAAGTCCGTAAAAATCCACCGCTGGACATAGGCCTCTCCTACTGTAAGGAGTGATGTGCCTTAATACATTCTTGACGCAGATCCTGTCCCCGTTCTGGTTATTTACGCCTAGCCGTCAACGTGATGGTCCATGGGATGGGTGGTAGATTCTCTTACAGTCCTAACTATGTATTATTTGTTTTTTTTTCATAGTTGTGGAACGACGCCCATGCACGAGAAGCAGTTGTGCCAGCATTAAGAAAGTCACTCGAAACACTTAATTTAGACTACGTCGACCTTTACCTTATACACTGGCCAATAGCGCAATATGTAAGTACGTTTTAATATTTGCCTTTCATTGTCTTCTTAAATCCTCATTAATCAATTCTTACTCCTTTTTCTGTACCATGTAGGTACAGGAAGGTGAGGAGAGTTTTAGTAACAATAATTATGAATTACGCGAGTTCAAAATCCAGGTTACAATAAGTAAGATTTATATAAAATAGACATACACAAACACGGGACGCTACACCGCCAGAGAGCTTCTATTATTATTCTTCTCTTATTCCTCGTCAGCCCATAAAATCCCACACCTGGACATGGACCTCTCCGGATATAGAAAGCATTTGTCTTAATCAAATAAGTTCAATCAGCAACAGCTTCTGAAAGATGGTGATACAATTATCTCTTTACACCAGGTGTGACAATAAGATTCAAATATTCAAAACTTTTATTTGCATTAAACATGGTAAATACAGGTGTTAATTACATACACTTTAGGCCAATCATGTTTCACCGTTTACATAGAGGCATACAAGTATCAAATTTAATTCTGTGGCTAATTCAGTTACTCATTATTAAGTTAATAATTACAAAATATTGAAAGATACATTGAAATGAAAATTTATATATAATTACTCATTAGATAATTATTAATTATTATTAAATATAATAGAAATATAAGACAAATATTAATTATTACTAAATAGGATAAAATGTCAAAATAATTAGTGCAGTAAATATTATTAGTAATATCGTAGTGGTTCATTTGTCAAATTTATAATCTGAAAATTCTTTGACGCTATAAAAAGTACTTTCTGCGAGAAGACCATAGAGGCCTTTTCTAAATCTTGAGAAAGATAGTGCTTTAATATGCTGAGGAATTTTATTATATATTTTGACACACATATATAGACAGCTTTTATTATATTTAGATAATCTAAGAAGTGTGAATTGTGAATTACAAGCTTTTCAAGGTATCTGTTGCTTCGAGAGGATATATTTTTTGCTTTAGTAAACAGATGGTTGTGTTGTTTGACGAACAAACATATTTCATATACGTAGAGCGAGGGCAATGTCAATAACTTAAGTTTTTTGAATAAAAGTCTACATGAATGAAATGGCGCTTTTTAGTGGCTCGTAAACATTTTTTTTCAGTGATAAAGGCTTTATTTAACTGAGAACCATTTCCTCTGATAATTAGCATGTAACGCAGAATAGAAACTACATAAGCGTGATGCACTGACAGGGCAGTATTTATGTTCGTGACTTTTCTAATACACCTTAAAGCATATACAAATGTATTTATTCTATCACACACTGATTTAATATGAGACTCCCACTTAAGGTTTCTATCAATTACTAAGCCAAGAAATTTCGTTTGCGTCATTTCTTCGATTTTGGTTTCGTTGTGATATATGTCAAGCTTATTAGTTTTCAAGTTGTCAAATTTAATATAATGAGTTTTGCTAAGATTCACTTTTAAATTATTTAGATTTAACCATTCTATTACTGATTTTATAGCGTCATTTATGTCATTTATGTTTTGTGAATGAATGTTTGCTTGGGTTAGTACTAATTGTTATTGCAATATCGTCCGCAAACATAGTACATTTGAATTTAGTTACATTTGGAATGTCATTTATATATATAAAATAAAAAGTAAAGGCCCAAGAATGCTTCCTTGTGGGACGCCAAAATAGTTGTTCCTAAAATGTGAATAATAATAAGTCAGTTCATTCTGGTTATTTAGGTTTTTGATTTCAACTTTTTGTCTTCTGTTTGTCAAATAAGACTCAAGCCACTGCAAAGGAATCCCTTGAATGCCCATATTTTCCAATTTTTTAAGAAGACTTTTATGCTCAACGAAGACGAAAACTTTACTTGGGTCAAAAACAATACAGTGGTTAGATAAACGATTTACACATACTAAGATAGATTTAATTAATGTATAAGTGGCCGAAGAAGTAGATTTATTTTTTTGAAAACCAAATTGATGTGGAGTGATGATACTAATCTTATTACAGTATTCAGTAAGACGCAAAAACGTACACTTTTGCGTCTTACTGAATTGGTATGTAATTATTATGTTAATGCAATGGGTATGTAATTATTGACATCATCTTTTTCACCATTCTTATACAACGGTTTAATTAATGATACTTTAGGCTTTTCTGGGAAAGTACCTGTAGAAAAAGATGAATTTATAAGATGTGTAAGTATTTTTATAAAACTGTCAATGAAAATTTTAATAATATTGGTACATATTCCATCGTAACCAGTTGCATTTGAGTTCTTAAGAGATATGACTGCATTTCTCACTTCTTTTTCTGACATTTCTCTTAGAAACATTGCTTGAGCTGTGTAGAAGTAGTTTGTGTTATTTCATTACTTGCGTTATCATTGTGGGGTCATGTTAATAAAAAAGTTGTTGAATTTATTTGCTATATAAGTTGAGTCAGTTAAAATTGTATTGTTCTTTTATATTAATAATGTTAATATTTTTTGTTTGTATTATTGCCTATTTCATTATTTACAATTGTCCATGAGGCTTTGCATTTATTTATGCTAGTGTTAATTAAATATGTATTTCTAATTTTTTTGACGCGTAAATACGCAAATACGTAAGAATAATAGGAGGACAGCAATATAGTACTAGGACCGGCGACGGACGACGGAGTAGGAAGGATAGATTGATGTGAAATGTCTGGATCTGTGACTGCTTGCCAAGAACAGTAAAGGCGCCTACTGACATGCCTGCCGCAGGGGCAATCTAGGGTGTAGGAGTGGGGATGACCCGTAATTGCCTCCTTAATTGTGATGTGTGTAGGCAAGCAGGGGCAATTTTTTAAGTCGGCCCTGCGGCAGGGCGGCAGGAGCGCAGTGTTGCAAAAGTTCCAGATTTATCAGGAGATCTACTGATTTTAATTAGTATCTCCCGATATCCCGATTTAGCGAACGTATCTCCCGATTTTTTTACATTTTCAACTAATGTAAAATAATAATCATAAATAAAATTGAAAAGTAATAATCAAAATACTAAAATGAACTTTTAACACAAAATCTATGTACGGGGACTTCCCGAAATTGTTCGCACCACGTCCTATGGGACCTATGCCTATAACCTTATTAGGTTTTTAACTTCGCGGTATGATTAAAGCATATTGCACTGATACATCTTAAAATAGAGTTCATTATTGTCTGGTAAGTGTACGGGGGAGATCCCTAAAGATTACTTTGTTCGGGTTGTTTTACGAATTAGGTAGCTTAGGCCATGTATATATAGTGTTGTTCGTTCATAGAATTACATTCACTAATTACTAGCCTTCTTCTGTTTTGTTGAGAACTGTTGTGATTTATGTCCAAATTTGTTAGGTAGCATTAGTTATCAAAAAAATAATTTAGAATGGCGTTTGCTTCTAAATACGTAAGAAATTAAATCACTCAGTGAAGAAAAAGAAGAATTTTGGAGCAGCGTGAGTAGCAAAAATATATAATCATAAAATTTTAGTTTAAATTATAAAGACCTTATTTTGATCGCAAAAAATGAAACGTTTTATGATACATTTCTAAACCCATGGATGTAAATAAAAATCTCCCGATTTCTCCAGATTTTTAGCTGGCAAATCTACCGATTTTTTATTTTTCACTTTTGCAACACTGCAGGAGCGCAAGTCCTACCTTGCTCCCTAGATTGGCCCTGCCGCTGTCGCGTGGGTAGCCCAATTGAAGCAATTTCAATCAGTTCGTTGCGACTTTCGCGCGGAGCACACATATGAGTACAAGTCAGACCCGCAGAAAGAATGTTATTTGAACGTTGTAACTTACAAGTAACATTACTGGGATTACTTGTTACCTAACTTATCATAAATATTCAAATAATATTAAAACTGCTGGAATATAAATAAAATGTCATTATATAAATATTCAAACAAAAATACAAATTTTAGTAATTAAATTTTATTGAAACCATCATTAGAAAACTATCCTGGCTATTTGTAACACTAGTTAAATTATAGTTAGTAAGCACTAGATAGTTAAGTTATATCACAGAATAAATTGGTTATATTAAATTATGACGAGTAAAGTTAGTCATATTTAATTGTCTTTGATAGCCTAAAAATAGCGTGGCAGAGCTATGCTGCAGCTTCTAAGCCTTATATTATGGTTGCAATTATTAATTAATTGGTTGTTTTATTGATAAATGTGGCTGTCTATAGGCCACAGTGTCCACTTACCATCAGGTGTACTGTGCTCATTTGTCACCCTTATTCTATATAAAAAAAGAGCCAAGGCTATATATACTGATTCATTGATATCGGCGGCATATTGATGTGTGGCGGCAAATATACCTGCGTTACAACATAAAGTACAAGAAAATATAATGAACAGATCGTTAGCAATTCGTCGCACATATATTGTAAGCTTTCCGATGATGTTTATTAAAAATTTATTTTTGTACGTGGTAGAGCCATGCTGCAGCTATATTTCGGGTATAATTGTAGCACGAATGGGTCGGCTCGATCGGGGAAGGACCACGCTCTCACAAAATACTAGCGTAAAATAGCAGCTCAATGCTGCTGTATTTCGTATGGTGAGTGTAGAGAACCGGAGACCCTACTTACTGGAAAAGAGGCATTCCATCTTAGTCCTCATGGGTGACGACGCATCTGCATTTTGATTCGCAAACGAGTTTAGATGTAGATGTATATAGGTCACAGCAGCCACTTACCATCAGGTGGACTGTGTGCTCGTTTGTCACCCTATCCTATAAAAAAATTCTAAAAACAACAACGGTTGCCATGTTACCATAGATACGACGCTTCGCTAGAGTAAATACCCCAGCAGCAGCGTGGAAGGTGCAAGACGTCTGCTGCTGCGATCGTCTGTCCGCCTGCCAAGTGTGACGAAAGGAAAGTGCTGATGAAGACGAAGAAATATAAATAATTTCTAAGTTTACATGAATAATACATACAAAGTCTTACAATATTTTGTAGAAAAATGGTACCTACTATGATGTGGATTACTTGGAAACTTGGGAGGGAATGATCGAAGCTAAGAAATTGGGTCTTGCTAAGTCTATCGGAGTTTCCAATTTCAACCAGCAGATGCTTGAGAGGCTTATCTCTAAGAGCTCTATCAAGCCCGCCGTGTTGCAAGTGGAGGTAGGTTTTTATGGTTTATTTTACGCTTTTACTGTTTTATTTGTTTTTTTTTAAGCAATCTCAATAAATTCGTAGTTCATATCTTAAGCAAGATCGACGAATCATGCATGTACTTATCTTATTGTATGTAATAATGATAATCGTTACAGAACCGTGGTAGCTCAGTGGCAAATTTTACGCTTACGGTAATTTTACGCCGGCACCAATGAAGTTGTTTATTGCGATTTCAAGTGCTGATTTAACATGTATTCAATGGTGAAAAAAGCAGTGGCTTACTATACCGTTAGAAGCCCGTGGCAAATTAATCGGCTGGGGCCCTCTCCTATCTAATATTAAGAATCTTTTTTGCGTTGTAGAGTCATGCTGCGGCTATATCAATAATGTAGTTATAGCACGGATGGGTCGGCTCGACTGCGGAAAAACCACGCTCTCACGGAATGCCAGCTTAAAGAAGCAGTTCAACGCTGCTGTGTTACGTATGGTACGTGTGGAGAACCGGAGACCCTTTTTATTGGAAACGAGGCATTCCATCTTAGTCCTCACGGGTGACGACGCATATAAATTTTGATTCGCAATCGAGGATAGATGTAGATGTCTATGGGCTACAGCAACCATTTACAATCAAATGAACTGTGTGCTCGTTTGTCATCCTTATCTTATAAAGTATATTTTATATTTTATTTTATAATAAATTACTACATAAAGTTCGTACATAAAACGGTATAATTGGTTGATTTTCTAGTAACTTCTTGAGCGTACTGGACTGACATAACAATTTTTTAGTTAGTACTAAATGTTTAGTTTTCTTATCTGTTGTACAGCTGTATAAAAATATAAATGAAAATGATAATAAATAGTAAATTATATAAATAAAAAATACATTAATAAATACATATCCAACCAGATGGAAGCCCTCGGCAGTGGAGAGCAAACGGTCGAGGGTTAGGGAGAGAGGGAAAGAAACTGGCGGACGGTGCGGGCGGTATCGAAGAGCAACGCGGCTTCTGCATTTGAGCCCGAAACGGTCCGTTACGAAATCCCAGTCGCCTCAGTTGACCTAAGAGGCTAACCGGGATTAGCATGTTCGAAAAAACAACTACAGGAGTAATTTCGGTCGGTAGACCAGCCCTCATGTCGGTCACCTTGTGAGCCACGTCCAGATATTTTGTTTGCTTACCTGTTTCGGCTTTCACGATGCTCTCGTCATATGCAATGGTAATGCTGACCAAAAATATCCTTGACTTTGCCTAGTACATCAGCACAATGTCAGGCTTATTCTCAAGAATAGTCCTGTCTGTGATGGTGGCCCGGTCCTAGTGGAGCCTGATGCGGTTATTTTCAAGCATAGCTTCTGGCAAGTATTTATAATAAGGCAGTTTACGTACCACGAGACCGTAATGAAATACTCTGAAGAGTGAGCTCCTGGTGTAGAATCCTGGCCACTAGACTGTGTATGTGCAAGTACTCAGGGTAAGAAAGCGCTGAACTACCGAAGATGACATGCCTAAGTGATTCTCCAGGATGGCGACAAGCTCGACAGATGTCGACGGCGCCATCCTTTAGAATGTATCTCCGATATTTGTTGGTCTTAATAACCTGATCCTGTATCGCACAGACAAAACTCTCTGTTTCCCCCAAAGAGATTACCGAATCGAAACCAGTGGAGGGCGCATGAAAGGCTCATGTAGAGCCTTGTAGAACCTCCTTAGGAGCTCCTTTTCTTTCCATAAGGTCTCCCGGTCGGAAATGCTCTGTACTGCCGGATCTTTGTCACTGCCTGTTGGATTAAGATAGAGGGGTAAGCCCCAATTCATTTACGGGGCCTCCGATTACGTCAATAAGTACTTAGGCACACTTCGCGATTGTGCATGGTGAGAGGGCGCTCCAAAAGCCACGCCTACCATGATTCCGTGGCAAATACAACCTCATAATGTTTTTATTAAAATTCCTATTTTCGGTCTTTCGGTTCAGCAAGTGTTAATGACATTAAGTTCAAATTTGGAACCATATAAATTCAAGTTTATTTTTTCATTCATTAGGTCATTAAGTCATTAAATTGCATTACCTTTCTTGTCCCATAGATTTACTTAAATAAGTTTTTATCAATTCCAATTTTTAAAATGATCGCTAGGCACTAGCCGTAGTTAGGGTTAAAAATAACAGACATACAATGCACACTTCGGGAAAGCTTGAAGAAATAAAATGATTCTTTAAGGTTAATAAATCAGCAAGTTCTCCTATATAAAATGACGTTTCTGTTTCGTGTCTAAAGGCGGATAGAAAACAGAGAATTTCTTTCGAAAACGAGATAGATATATCTTTTTTATATAAATAGACAAATACTTAAGAGGACTACAAGAGCCAAGTGACCTTGAGTTATGCACGCACACATTTACACAACCCATGTGAGCGCCATCTAACGACAGTGACAGTGACACTAACGAAGTTACGCCGGAGTTTTATAATAGACGAAACGCAGGTAAAGATAAAGATCTAACAAAGAAATAGATGGGACAACGAAATTATTATATATATTTTTAATTTAATGTTATTTGAAAATTTAAGGATGTGGGTGATTTTGAAATAAAACTGATTCGATGAAAATTAAATTATTTTTATTTATATAATAATAGTGACAAACTTTATTTATTTAAAAGTAATTGTAGTATATGGGTAGGAGATTACATCGTTTGTACTAACTATAAAATATTATATTCAATCTAGTGGATGTAGCTCTGTTCTCCTAGCTAGGTTACAGGATAACCTGCGTTAAGGAGTAACAGTCTCAATCCCCGTAATAGTAGGTATATAATAAGTAAGTAGATACTTACAGTTGTAAGTGCTACAATGATAACAATATCTAGTTTTCAAATTATTAAATATAAAATTGAGAAATATATGCGCATGTATGTGTCTGTGTGTGAGTGTGTGTGCGTGTGTATGCGTGTATGTTGGCGTGTGCGTGTGTGTGTTTGTGGCTAGGCATGTTACATTACAACGTGCGGCTGATGTTATGAATATTAATTGTGTACTATAGGCTTCTTCCAGTACACGCTTCGATGGATATTGTTTACTTATATCAATAACTTCACAATGATGATTTTCCTGTGGTACTGTTTCCAATCTATGCAAAAAATTGAATATTACAAATTATGTAGATGTCAATTCTAAATATTATAGTTCTATGGTCCACAAGATACGTAATAAAAATTTACAATTCGCTTATTTTTTGTATTTGCTTCTGAAAAATTGTTAAGATACAAGTAAAATACCTAACATTCATACATAATTATAATTCCTACTTATAAACAAAATCGATAAACCTAAACTCTTACAGATGATTCTGTTATTTCGTCATGCCTATTTGTTAATTTATCAATAAGCCGCGGTTTTTTAACAAAAACATTAGGTATATTTAGTTTTTTTTTATTGTTATTAAAGTTTTAGGTAGGTACTTACACATTGGAAATACAAACCTTCGTGTTGATATTTTGAACTTTCTTTCTCCTGTAAAAAATAATTACATTTCAAACGTTTTCTTAGTTATTATTTATAAAACTAATTAATAAAATTATCTAAACATGTAATACTTAAACTAAAAAATAAAAAAGAAAATTTGACGTTATATTCCTGGATTCGAACCCGGGCACTCTCGAGTGCTAACTGCAAAATATAGGTTTATTGTTATAGAAATAAATATGTCTTTTTAGTTATTATTTATAAAAGTATTTAATAAATTTCTCTAAATATGTAATACTTTAAATAAAAAAGAAAAAAGAAAATTTAACTTCATATTCCTGGAATCGAAACCAGGTACTCTCGAGTGCAAACTGCAAATCCATAATTCTACAAAATGCGCTACTGTAATACACTAAGTTTCATAAATTCATAGGTTTATTGTTATAAAAATAAATATATTTTTTTAGTTATTATTTAGAAAAATATTAAATAAATTTATCTACATACATAATACTTTGAATAAAAAATAAAATTTGACTTCATATTCCTGGAATCGAACCAAGGTACTCAGGTATACACTACATTTCCAAATCATAAGTTTATTGTTATAAAAAATAATATTTAGTAATAATAAAATGTTCTTACCTTTTAATTTCGTTCATATGTTGGGCGTTTGAGTTATATTAACTTTTTTAGTCTTCGTAACGGGTTTCATTATTATTTCCCACATTTACCAATTATAATTATTAACTTAATTTAAATTAATCTAAACTTAAAATATTTTATATTTACACGAAAGAGGAATATTTATGAAAAGAAAAATATTTATGAATTTAAAAATAAAATTATACAAAAACATTAAACAATCTTTACGTAAATAATGCGGCAAAGAGAGCGACACGTCTATATAGCATCAGGCCTCGGCCAGCAGTGTCGGTACACAGGCGTTTACGCACACATCCGTACATATTATTTCAGAAATAAGAAAATGCGATTTAAAGGAAATCTATAAATTTTATTAAAAAATTAAAACACTATTACGTTAATATGTTGCTTGTAGAATATTCTGACAAAAAATCAAAATGATTGCATGTACATTAGTATGGTTTTTACTCGTTAAAAAAAATTTTTAGAGGTATCTTTATGATTTTTTTCTATCGTATCAAATTAGTAGTATCATGTTTTCATCACACTATCTAACTAGCATATATACTAAAAAATATCATATATTTTTCTGATTTTGTTTACTGCATTGGATGATATAGTTTAAGGCAATATAAATCTTGCGTTTAGCTCCTGTAGTCCCCTTAAGCCCTTTCTAATAAATCGGTATTCTTTATATTTTGCAAGGGTAGGTAGGTTGCAAAACACTGACATTGGAAACAATTTCATTCATTCCAAGGAAACGCGATCTTAGTTGGTTAGCGATGATGTCGAATACACAACAGAATATGTTTGCTTGCAGGATCTTGGAGACCTTCTTGTGACGAGTTTTAGGAAATTCCGGGTTTATGACCATTTTTTGGTACTGTTTGCTTTTGTTTTTATATCTCCCAATTCATTTCAACACTTTTCAAGGTCTTCCAACCAGACTTGCGAGCGCTTGGAGGCATTCGAAAGATCAATCGCTTTAGATTGAAGTGCTTTTAAGGCCGCAAACCAGTAACGTCATGAAGTTGTAATTTTCGATCTTCTTCTTCAGTAAAATAGCTTCATTCTTCTCATCTGCTTTGGACTTTAATAGAATAGTATTTGTAAGCGCTTTTGGAACTTCAAAAAACGTTCTACCCATCTAGTTGGATTTATGTTAAGGTCATCCTGTGCTCACGGCCCTCTCGGGCTGAAGACCCCTTCCGGCTGGGGGCACGTGGCATTTTGCCTGGCACGCTACCCTATTATTATGACACTGGAAAAAAGGCATCTAGAGGAAACCTGCGTGTCTTAGGAATAAAAGTGTTACAAAGACATGTGAAGTCTGCCAATTTGCACTACCAACCGCGCAGTGTGCTAATTACTACATAACCGTCTCAGAAGCGAGTGGGTGCCAGTGCCAAACAGTGGAATTGTATAGAGGCTGTTACTTTTTTGTTACATTGTTGTTTATATCTATATTATGCTGTATGGGATAGAAGATGAGCCGGCAGCAAAATGATTAACTATTATTATTTTAAACAAAGTTGAATCAGTTACCCAATAACTAAAGTACGTCTAAAGTTGCATTGGTGACCAACAAGATATCACTCATCATCAATCTATGAATATCTACAAATAACAATAATTCAGTTCACTATTTATAGACACAGCATTGTCAGTGAAGTACGTAAAATAAAAAGGCGACGTACCGGAATTATATATGTCGTCACTTTCGAACACCCCCATAACTCATAAACTATTATTTAATTCATATTATGTACCCGTGGCGTTGTAAAAATATCCACTAATCCATATCATCCCGTGGTTGTCGTAAGAAGGACATGGACAGCAGCGTTATCTTAATAAGGTCTAAAATAAAAAAACCTGCGGATTCCAACCCGCTCACCAAACGTGGTGGCTATGGCAAATATCCCCCCTATTAATAAGGTAATCTATAGAGGAGGCCTATGTTCAGCGGTGGACTTTAATAGGCTGTAACGGTAACGGTGCATATGTAGTGTTCCAAGAACGTTGTAAATTCCTATAGACCCTATGCTATATGCAACTGCTAAGGAGCTTGGTCAACCTTTAGTTATCTAAAGTAGTTTGTACCGAATTTGGTCAAATTTTCACATTTATGTTTTAGTGGCATGTCAAGTTTCACAATAATATTATTGTCTTTTAGATTATTGCGACTTATGGTAAGAAAATATATGCCGAACGATCCTTGTAGGTCATAGTCAGTGGTGCCGTGCGACACACACATTTCCCAAGCCCTAGCTGTTTCTTTGCTGCAATTTAATCTGTTATTGATTATCATTTATATAAATCACTTACGTATTTTATGACGTTGTATTCTTTTGTAGCTTCGAATAAATTAGTTTTTATTTACCTTTCCCTTAAAACACTATCAAAACTAGAACCTTATCACATTTAAAATTTATATATTTCTCTTATTCATTTTCAGATAAACTTAAACCTGCAACAGCCAGCGTTAAGAGAATACTGCCGCCAGCAGAACATCGTAGTAACCGGCTACACGCCTTTTGGATCCATCTTCCCCAACAAAGCTCGGTCAGATGCACCTCCGCCACGTGTGGATGACCCCACCCTCGTACAGATCGCTAACAAGTACAACAAGACAGTGCCACAAATAGTCCTTCGATACCTGGTAAGTATTGCTAAGTGACCAGTAAAATCTTGCCAAATGGAAGAAGTATAAGAGCATCCATCATCCCATCTGGTCTCATTAGTATCTTGAACGCTATATTCCGGCGTAAGAATATTCATGACATACTTTTGTTCGTGGTGATTCTGTACAAAAGCTCTATAATAATGAACATTATACTTTACAGGTAGAACTGAACGTTATACCAATACCCAAAACGTTAACCAAGTCGAGGGTGGAACAGAATATCGATATATTCGACTTCGAACTAACGCAAGAAGAGAGGGACCTCTTCAAGGGCTACGACAAAAATTATAGAACAATCGCTGGTAAAGAGTGGATAGATTCACCTTATTATCCGTTTGAAAAGAATTAAGAAACATTAAATTTTATTTTAATCTGTTTATTTGTTGGTTTTATTTTTGGCGCTGAACCTTTTTATTATTTATTCATACCTTCTAAAGAATGGTAGTACTCTGTAAAGCAAAAGAAGTAATACAAGTAAATATTATTATAAATTAAAAACTCAACTGCAGTGGTCTATTATCAATAATTAATATACAATTTCTTCTGTACAATTTGCCGAAGAGTACGATGAGAGCAATTTGCAGAAGACCAAAGAGTACAATCTGCCACATTACTTGCGTATGTCATATCAGTAGCGCCGAAGCAGCTGGGCTACAAGAATTTTTTTTTATAGTTTAAGGGTAACAAACGAGCACACAGTCCACCTGACGTTAGATTTAAACTATCATAATTAGTCATAAATTCATATGGATAAACCCAGAGGCGTAGCTAACACCGTCTCAGCCGTATCAATGATACGGGGCCCCCGGGCTACAGAGGCCCCGAACGTGTGTAAGCAAAAATTCTAAGGACTTCTAATGGGACAGGATAGGTTATCAGACTTGTAACGATTGTCTATAGAGGCAGAAAATTTAGAAAAACTGAAATCGTCTTCAGCTATGAATGATTTAATAAATAAGTTTGCCGAATAAAAGACAAGAAAAGTTTATATTTTATTTGAATTTTGAGCTAGCTTAGTTCCTAGGAGTATATCATCATCATCATTACAGCCCTTCACAAGTCCACTGCTGAACATAGGCCTCCCCCAAAGAATGCCACAAAGCACGGTCCTGAGCCACCTGCATCCATCGACTTCCTGCATATCTTACCAGGTCGTCACTCCATCTAGTGGGGGGACGCCCTACACTTCGCCTGCCGGTACGAGGCTGCCACTCGAGAACCTTTCTTCCCCATCGGTTGTCGGTTCTTCGAGCTATATGGCCGGCCCATTGCCACTTCAGCTTACTAATCCTGAGCCTGAGAGAGAATGACCGACATAGCCCAGAGTGACCGGGCTATGTCGGTCACTCTGGTTCTACTGCGGATATCCTCATTTCTGAGTTTATCACGCAGAGAAACTCCGAGCATAGCCCTCTCCATAGCTTGCTGAGCGACCTTGAGCTTCCTCATCCGGCCAGCAGTGTAGGACCACGTCTCATTTCCGTATGTCACCACTGGCAACACGCACTGGGTGTACAGTCTCGTTTTCAAGTTTTGAGGTATACCTGACGAGATGTGCCGTAATTTCCCGAACGCTGCCCAACCGAGTTGAATCCGTCGATTGACCTCTCGGTCGAAGTTGGACTTACCTAGTCGGACTATTTGTCCCAGGTAAACATACTCGTCAACAACTTCGAGCTTAGTGTTCCCAACAACTACCGGCATAGGTGTGACATGGACATTAAACATGATCTTTGTTTTGTCCATGTTCATCTTAAGACCTATCCGTTGAGAAACACTATTGAGGTCATTGAGCATAGTGCTTAGGTCCTCCAGCGATTCTGCCATAAGGACTATATCGTCGGCAAATCGAAGGTGAGTGATGTACTCGCCATTGATGTTGATACCGTATCCTTTCCAGTCCAGAAGCTTGAAAACATCTTCCAATGCAGCGGTAAAGAGTTTCGGGGATATGACGTCACCCTGTCTTACACCTCTCTGCAATTGGATAGGTTTCGTACTCTGGTTCTGTACTCGGATAGCCATCGTAGCCCTACTGTACAAGCACTTCAACACTTCGATATACCGACAGTCAACTTGGCACCGCTGAAGGGACTGCAGCACCGCCCAAATTTCGACGGAATCAAAGGCTTTCTCATAGTCCACATACGCCAGACATAGTGGCAAATTGTACTCCTCGGACTTTTGTACAATTTGCCGAAGAGTATGTATGTGATCTCTGGTGCTAAAGCCTTTTCGGAAACCGGCTTGTTCGGGAGGCTGGAAGTCGTTAAGTCTGCGCGCGAGACGATTCGTAATGACTCTCGAAAACAGCACGTAGACGCGGCTGAGAAGGGAAATCGGTCTGTAGTTCTTCAAGAGAGCGTTGTCGCCTTTCTTGAAGAACAAGACCACCACACTTCTGCTCCACGCCTACGGTGTAATGCCACCATGGAGGACGGAATTAAAGAGCTTCTGAAGGATTTCAAGTACCGGTTTTCCACCCGCTTTCTGAAGCTCCGCTGTAATTCCATCCTCGCTTGGGGCCTTGCCGTTTTTAAGGTGCTGGAGAGCCATTCTAATCTCGCTCAGACTGACGTCCGGGATATCATCGGAATAATGTCGGATAAGACTCGCTCTTGGATCGTTACTCACACTTGCGTGCGGCTCCAACGATGACGTGTACAGCTGCCCATAGAACCTCTCAATCTCACTCAAAATCTCAGGTGCCCCGGAAACGATGCTGCCACATTCGGTCTTCAGCTTTGACAGTTGGCTCTTTCTGGCAGACAGATCTCTGGCAAAGAATTTGGAGCCTTGGTTCCGCTCGATCGCTTGTTCAATACGAGCTGTATTGAAGTTGCGTAGGTCCCGCCGCATGCATTTGGAGATCTGTCTGTTCAGTTGCCTGTATGCTGTTAAATCTGTTGAAGAATATAGCTTCATCTGCCGTCTAACAGCCATGAGATTAAGAGTGTGATCGGAGAGGTTTCGTGTTCTTCTGCGGCGGGTCTTGCAGAACTTAGCTCCGACCGCATGGAGAGTTTCCACCAGCTTGTCATTCAAATCGTCCACTTTATTGCAGTCTTCTAGGCATTGAAAACGGTTTTGTAACTCTAGCTGAAAGGTTTCGGGACTTTGGATTAGAGCACGAGGGGGACGGAGCGTTGACTTCATTAGACGAGACCTCTTCAACTTAACGTTTAGGTTCATACCATTCGGTGATCGCTGCCGGTTTTCACCCTCGCGATCACTGAGACATCATTGAACAGTTGTCGTCTGGTCGTCATAATGAAGTCAATCTCATTTTTTGTCGAACCGTCGGGGCTCGACCAGGTCCACTTCTTGTGGGGCCGCTTCTGGAAGAAAGAGTTTATCATAAAGAGTCCCTCTTTCTCCATGAAGTCGGCCAGCTGCTGGCCCCTTGGGTTCCGTTGCCCTATTCCAAATCTCCCCACTTTCAGCTTACCGTTCTCTCTTGTGCCTAGTTTTGCATTGAAGTCTCCCATTAACACCGTATATTGGGTTTTGGAGGAATACATGGCTCTAGAAATATCCTCATACATTTCCTCCACGTCCTGATCGGGGTGTGCCGAGGTTCGTGCGTAAACCTGTATGACCTTCAGCGAATACCGTTTGGTGATTCTGAGTATAAGGTACGCAACCCTCGTCGACACACTCTCAATCTTTACAACGTTGTTAACTAGAGACTTGTGGACGATAAATCCGACACCTCCTTGGGACAGATGGTCGCCCTCCCGGTAATAGAGCAAGTTGCCGGATTCGAGGATTACCGTGTCCTCCTCCTCTCTTCGGACTTCGGATAATCCTATAATATGCCAGCGTAACTTGTCTATCTCTTCTTTCAGCTCCACAATCTTCTCGTCAGTCCTCAGGGTGCGTGCGTTGTATGTTGAGTCGTCGTAGGTGGCAACCGAATCTCCACCGGAGATTCTTAGCACCCCTGCCCCGCCGTTACCATGGTCGCCACCATAGCTAGGGATAGCGGGGCCGCCGGGGACTGGGGCCGTCTCTTCGTAACTTTCATCATAGGGGGGTATATTGCCATAGTTGCCACGCTTGGCGAGCGGGTTGGCAACCGCAGTTTTTTATTGTATTTTTGCCGTTACCAGGAAGATGCTGCTGCCCATCTCCTGCCTGTTTCCCTTTGTCGCCTTTTACGACACCCACGGGAAGATATGGGGTAGTGGATATTCTTAACCGCCACTACACGGCCAAGGAGTATAAATGTAGTAGTATAAATGGTTAGTAATAACTTATAATTATATTAATTCAATGCGAGAGTTTTTGTTCTTTTTGTGAAAAATCTTTACACTTAATTTGGGCCCCCCAACAAATTTTGATACAGGGCCCGTCTAAGGCACGCTACTCCACTGATAAACCCCTTTTCCGTTTTAAACGAATGAAATCTTCATCATTAGGGTAATTTCTATGTAATTCTTGAAATTGATCATTTTTGGCTTATTCTTCTAACTTACATGATAACTTAAATGAATCTACGAATCTCAATTTAACTTCTTGCTTATTCATTTTCAATTTTTAGGAAAAGGAAATATATTTTTCTTTATTTTGAGGGATAACTTCGACTTCACCATCACAAAGTTTAATGCATGAACAATAAAATGAGCATCATAGTGACTAAGGTTGTGTAAAAATATTGGTATATGAATGACTCATGAGCAACACTTATAAAACTACCAGTATACCAATCAAAATCATAAAAAGTTCTGCTAAGTCTGTTTCACAAAATATGACAAATGGTTGCATTTGAAATTTGGTTTTTGTCTTCATTTGTTACCGGAACTGGATAATTTTGAAGTCTATTTATTTCTTTTAAATTGTTGGATAAACTTTCCATAAACACTTGTACACAGTTGGGTCCGCAATATGTTACATATTTTGATAATGTATCATCATATTTTATAACATTTCAGAACATTTTATATAATAACCAAAACTAAAACTAAACTATATAATAACTATTGGTTTTAAAAATGCTTCAAAATCTGCATAAACTGCGAACGGTATCTATAACTTTTTTTCATAACTATCAAATTTAATTTTATCAATTGAAATAGGTTGATCAAACCAATTGTTTTTAAAAGTTTCACTGCTTGGTAATTCTGTACAAATGTGGGCACAATACATAGTATTGTTCATGGTTATTTAATATTTCCTGAGATGGAAAATGAAGTAGACATGCGTCGCAAATGTACATGACGTGACCGTCTTTTGAAATTTGTTTACTAACTAACCGCGATATATTTTTTTATGTAACAATAATGATTTTTCGTCTCCTTGGAAAAAAATAATAAATTGATATGTCTATCTTTATGACACTTTGTTAAA